CTTAATTGTGGCATTTGACTTCTTATTTGCTGCTCTGACAGAAAAGTTTTGTCTTGTTTGCAGTCCTATTCATGCCATGCTCAGATGCTTTTCATCTTTATAACCTGCATCTTATATAGTCCTAATGACAACAGTACATGTAGCTTATACAAAGATCAAACTGTAAAATATATTTTCAACAATTTCTGTTAAAATGTCATATAGATTAGCAGATAATTCCCATAAATCCACTGCAACTTTTACCATGGTCAGTGTTTAGTTTCTTGCCATCACTGCCAATAAACTTTCTAATTCTTCCTTCACTAGATATTGACTGTCATTCCTTCCTTCTTCATTGTTGCTTTACAGTTCCGTTTATGTAAATATACCATCTTGCAACTGCTAGAAATAATTGTGTCTCATGGAAGGCACACAATTCTAAGTTATGCATGAGTATAAGGAGTATTTGACCTTTTCTGGCCCAAGGATTTCTGTATCTATCTCCAACAACAGAGGGCAGAAACCCAGAATTTTCTCAAAGGTGATATTCTCAGCTTCAGACAAAAGTTGAATAGGCTCAGAATAGCATTCTCAGAAGTTCCTGGTCCTGTTTCAAAAGTGATCCATGGAGATACTTTATTGTCTGAAATATCAAGTTAGGGCTGAGAACAATTTATTAAAATTGTTCATGCCCTTTAACAAGGAAGTAGTGAACTACCTTAAGACTAATTGGAATGTTTAAAAAGGTGATATTAATGTAGTGCTGCCTGTCCTGGTGAGAATGTTTCTATTTAAAAAATCCTTCAGAAATTGCTCTGAAAAATATTGTATTCCTACATATGATTTATAAAATTTAAGAGTTGTATCTTGGAGAGATAAGACAGAGAATTATCATTTATTTATTGGTGAATAAGGAAGCTTTGGACTCAGATGTCTCACCTTTAAAACTCTTTGACTTCTATTTGATTTATAAACTTTGTTCATGTAAAAGGAGCGAAATTATTTCATACTTGAAACATGTAAAAGGCACAATGTGATTTGCCTTATTGGCATACATATATGAATATGCATTTATATATACTTAGACTGATGTATCTTGGCTCTATTTTGTGTAAGTAATATACTATTCCAACACTAATCAACTAAAATATTTTCCTAAATTTCCTTTCCAGGAGGATTACTTGATCAGAAAACATGAAAAAATTGAAATTGTTTCCTTTAACTGAGTATTGAAATTGTGTAAGTGGATTACTTGTTGTCAGGATGTTTAACAAAGGACTTTTTCCTCGGTTTAGATAATTTTATAATGGAAATTATTATGAAATATATTTTATTATAAAAATATCATGATTTTTCACTCTTAAATTGCATTAATTTCATAATTGTGGTGAATTCCAGAGGTTTGCCTATTGTAAGTGTACTGTATTGACAATGGTTTATACTCAAGATACTCATCACCTTTCAACAGCAGAGCTCATAAGGTCCTGTAAAAGACAGCCTGGATAAAACAGAATTAGAACAGAACTTAACCACCCAGGAAAATAAGGTTAAATCCCATCAGCTTCCACTAATAACTAGTAAATATTGTCAGTATCTCCCTTGTTACTCAAGTGTCAAGCAATAACACAGGTCAGTTCGACTCATAGGCTATCTAAATGCCTGTCCTTAATGCTTTCACCCATAGCAGAGCCCTTTGTATTGCTCATTCACTTATCATCCTTTTCCCCTCCCCTATGGATCATTTATGAGGACTGCAAATAAAAGAACTCACATAAATGCACAGTGGACAGCAGCCTTTGAATATTTGATGCAGGTGACCTTCTAGAGTATTGAAATGGGTACTAGAAATTTAAAACTCTAAGTGATCAAGATTCTTGTATGTTCTCCCATTGTAAACATTTTCAACCAACCTATAAACTATATGTTGTTTGAAGAACTCGAAGACCTTTCTATGGCTGTTTATTTGTGAAATATTCTCCTTAATGGGCAGTAAGACATTAACTGATACAAGCAGCTATTATTCTTGGACTGAAGCTCAGAATGACTGTTGTCAACAACAGCAGGAAGTGTTGTTTTTTTTAACATTGTAGTTCTGCAAATAAAAACCATAGGATTAATATCTCAATATAAAGGAAGAGTGGTAAGGCTGCAAGAGGCACTCATAAAATGGAAGTAAAGAGAAATAAAATGACTTTGAAAAACCATGGAAGAACTGGGATCTCCACATTAAGTAATTCCCAAATAATTCTTCACTTCTGCAGAGCAAGGGAGGGGAAGAAAAGAGGGCTTGGTTAATCTCCTGCTAGTGGTTGGCTTTTCAGACTAAGACTTGGTAATATGGCTAACTGATTGTTTTGCTTGTGACACATATGGTATGAAGACTATCAAAGGGACAAAATTCTAGCTAATCACTATATGATGTTTTGGAAAGTTCCACAACTATTGTATATTATTTCTATCTAAAAATATATAAATATCAAAATTTCAAATCAGCAACAATTTTTAAGAAAGTTTACATAGCTATGAGGCTTTTATTCGATGCTTGGAGTATCTTCTTTATTTTGTGGAAAAGAAATTGTTTCATAGGTTTTTGCTTGATTATTTGTTTATCTCAAGAAATTTGTCCTTGGCACATTGTCCTTTCAGTTCAAATTGAACTCAAGATACAAGGTTACTCAATCTTTCTGACAGAAAGATTTATGTCTGTATAGCAAATGCCACAACATATATCCAATCTGATATTGCTGATAGTAAAGAAGGTAAATTAGTCACACTTCTGTAATGCTGAAATTGTGTAACTTTTTTTAAAGTGATCTTATTGCAAATAACCATCAACTTCCTCTTATCAAAATGCAAATTGACATTTTTGGTAGTTAAATGCTAATAGGTACATATTGAAATCTGTAGCTTATACTGTTTGCTAGTTTTATGTCTAACACTATAAAAATATATAATGATCAAAAATAAGAGCAAGAACCTATTTGACCACTCATAATAAAATAGTTAAATATCTGAAAAGGTGCATTTCACAAGATCATGAATATTTTTCATAAACCTACAGCCATACCTAGTTCACCACAGTTATTGTTCCCCATAGCATCAAAATTACTAACTGTTGATAGTAATCTGTTTTTGAAAAAAGTCACACTCATGTCTGACTGTTGCATGAGTTGGATTTATAAATGTAGTTGCTTCAGAAGCAGCGAGCTTGGCCTTCACCTGGCCATTTCTGTCAAATGCTCAGATTACCAATGGCTGTGAAAATGTACTCACATTCAATAACAGAACTGCTCTCCTAAAACCAAAAAGGCAACCAAGTGTGGTAAAGTCACCATCTTGAAACCAGAAGGCTTTAAGCAGGATCTCTAAAACTTAGATTTATTTTGCAGAAGTTTCTTATGTTCATGAAAAACCAGAGCTATAAGTATAGAATATATAATAAGTAGAAATAACATGGGTTTTTTTTAAATTTTTCAATATTTCCAACAGCATCATCAGATTTCATAAAAGAAATACAATTACATTCTCATCCCATCAAAGCATGAGGAAGCATAGCTTATGGTTTAATTATTAAAATGTTGTAATTTTCAAAAATCAGCAAGCTATGATCCCCATTCTTTAGTGTATTTTTTAAAGTACATCATACACTAAAGAAACATAGATAATACAGTACAGAATTCTAGGCAATAAGAGATCAATTTGGATAAGGAAAACTGTATTTACAATAGTAACTGCATATGCTATGCATATTCTAGTTTTGTACTACTAAGGAAGGAGATGGAGGGCAAGTGTCACGACAAATGCTACATGGGAACCACAGCAGGTGCACAGAACATGAGCTTCACATGGTTCTTTCTGGAGGGAGTTCATCTTAAGTAGTGCTTAAGCACGGCTTCTTAAAATGTCTTCAATTCCTGCAGTGTTGTGGGTTAACCCTGGCTGGCAGCTCAGCACTACCCAGCCACTTGCTCACTCCCCACAGTGGGGTGGGGGAGAGATAGAAAACTTGTGGGTTGAGATAAAGATAGTTTAATCATTAAACCAATGCAAAGCAAGGAATTAATTGGCTACTTCCTGTTGGCAGGCAAGTGTTTATATATTTCCAAGAAAGCAGGGCTCCATTCTGAATAGCAGTTACTTGGGAAGACAAATTCCATCTCTCCTAACACCTTCCCCCTTCATCCTTCTTCTATGCAGATGTTATTGCTAAACATGACATCATATAATACGGAATATCTATCTGGTCAGTTGTCCCCACTGTATCCTCTCCCAAATTCTTGTGCACCCCCAGCCTACACAGTTATGAGACAGTATGAGAAGCAGAAAAAAAGGGCCTTGATGACGTGCAAGTACTGCTTAACAATAGCTAAAACATCAGTGTTACCAATACTGTTTTGGCTTTACACATCATAAAGCCCTAGAAGTTACTATGAAGAGTTACTACTCTATCCCAGACAAAACCAGTACACTTGGTAGTATAGAGTGTGAGAGTAGAGAGCATTAGCCTAATAGTTTACATAAACTGCTCTCTTACAGTGTGCTTGTGGTAAAAAAACTCAGCTTCATGCTGCTCTTACCATGTGCAGTTTCTTTTTCATAATCAGTGTGGTCACATAGCTTTTTCTTGGACTTTTTTACATACAGGAGCATCTGCAGGCTTGTGTATTGTGCTTTAGGTACTTTCTGTGCATTTTGAATAATTATACTAAATTTTGTAACTACACAATCGTCACGTCCCTTATCTTGAAACTTTTCTCCTACTAAAAACTGTGGTAAAAAATAACAGATACTGTGTGAAAAAATAACAGATGTGAAGCCTTTAGATTATGTACTCTAGTCTGCTTTTAACTATCAACATTCAAATTTACAGGTGTTACTACAACTTCTGCCAAGCATTATATTATAGAATCATAGAATTATTTGGGTGGGAAGAGACCTTAAAGATCATCTAGTTCCAACCCTCCTGCCCTGAGCAGGAACACCTTCCCACCTTCACACCCCTGCAATCCATTTTTTTTACATGCAAATTCCAGTCTGCCATCCTACATGCGTACAAGATGTATCAGGATTTTTCTCTAAACTGTGAGTTAACTTTTATGTTATTAACAGTGCTTTCTCATATATTTTAAATACTGTCGTATCTTGTGTCATTTTCTAGAATCTTAGCTATTACATATATAATTTTGCTTTGAAATTTAAGCATATGCTAACACTGTATAATTTACATTATAGGGCCACATTTTAAAATGTGAACTCTGGTAGCTGCAAAATCTGCAACTTTATATGCAGAAAATCTACATTAGCAGTTCACTGATACCCCTCTGAAAATGAATGTGCAATGTCTTGGGTGATTATTTGCAGATAAATCTGCATTAGCTGGATGTAAATATTAAACATGGAACTCAATCTTGAAAAAAATCTTGCTCGCTAATGAGAAATAAACTTTCAATTTGGAAGAGTTTATGTGAATCTTTCCCCATGTCAAACCATACAGCCTCAGTGGCTTAGGATCATAACATGGAAGACACATCAGCTTCAAAGGACTCTGTCAGAGTTTGGATTAGCACATGAAGAAAATCAATACCACCCACCCACACCATGTGCCAGATAATACAACAGAGCTGGGAAGAGAGAGAAAGGACTCACTAGGAAAGGACTAGGAAAGGACTTTGTCACATCATCTGATGTGACAAAATTATGAATTCTGTGGTGGGCTGACCTTGGCTGACTGTCAGATGCCCATCCAAGTGCTCTCTCCCTCCCTCAGCAAGCCAGTGGCTGAAAATAGGATGGAGAAGCATGTGGTTTGAGATATGGACAGGGAGGTTACTCACCAATCACTATCAGAGGCAGACCAGATTTGACTAGCAGAATATTAATTTAGTTTAATCCTAATTAAAAAAAAATATAATAAAGTAGGATAGAGAGAAACAAAGACAAAACTAAAAGCACTTTCCCATTATCCTATGCTTTCTTCCTGGGCTCAACTTCACTCCTTTGTTCCAAAATCTTGTACCTCCTCCCCACTCTACTAGCAGTAGAGGGAATATGGGGACTGGGAGATGTGGTCAGTTCATAACTTTTTGTCTGTGCTGCTTCTTCCTCCTTACACTCTCCCCCTGCTCCAGCATGGACTCCTTCCTACTGGATACAGTCCTTCACAAACTGCATCATCGTATGTTCTTCCCATGTGGCTCAGTTCTTCATGAACTGCTCTAGCATAGGTCCATATGCCCAGATTCCCCATCAGAAAACCTTCTCCATATGGTCTCCTCTCCACAGACTACAGCTCTTGCCAAGAGCCTGCTCCTACATGGTCTCTCCATAATCTGCAGCTTCCATGAGGGCAGGTCCACATGCTCTGGTGTGGGTTCCTCCACAGGCTGCAGAAGGACAACCATGGCACCTCCACAGGCTACAGGGGAATGTCTACTCTGGTGCCTGGAGTGCTTCATCCTCTTCCTCTTCACTGACTTGGGAGCCTGCAGTTATTTCTCTTGCATTTTTCTCACACTTCTCTCCACAACTGATGCGCAATGTTTTTCTTATCCTTTCTCATGGATGTTTTCCCTGCAAGGCTCTGCCACTATTGCTGATGGTCTCAGCTTTGGCCAGCAGCAGGTCTACAATAGATGTTTCCCCAGACTTTAATTAGAAAAGAGTAAATGGAAACAATGACGGTCACTGTTTAAAAGGCATGTTCTCATTGATAACAATATAATTTGTGTCTGTTTTCAAACTAAAGTATGCTTAAATGGCTAATTAGAACATCCAAATAAACACTTTTAGAGTAAAAAGCCTTTTCTTCCTATAGACACATTTCTCAGAGACGTCTTTACTGCTGACTGTTCTTCAGGGAATTCATGTTTAAACAGATAGATAATTAAAAATCTGTCTAAATATTCCTGATTTTTGTTATGCTTAGCTTTTGATTAGCTTTAATCCTTATCTTTGCTTTATGTCTGTGTCTAATACCCTGCAGGAGTCTCCTGAAATGCATTTCTACAAAATTGTACCTGGGCAAATACTGCAACAGTGAGTACAAGTATTTCACTGAATTTAGAAGAACTTTTTCTCAACCATATTATGCTTTCAAAATAAATATTTAAACAACTATGTTTTCAGTTTTATACACTTTTTTTCCCCTGAATAGGTTTTTATATAAGTAAGTGCACTCTTATACAAGCATAAACTTGTACTTTTCTTAGTTTTATCACTAGTTCTTCCATATTGCTTGGTATTTATTTTCCCACATTTTAATAGGCATCAGGCCTAATAACAACAAAACACATATGACAAATTAGAACAAGACATGAAACACAGTTAAAAATGTACTACAAGTTGTAATATACTTCTTCAAACTATTTATATAAACAAAGCTATTGCTTGGACTACTTATGTAATAAAACAACATGTTTGTGGAAGCAGAATGGGTTTTATACAAAAAAGGGTAAGTTTATTGGAAAACTTGTTTGTAATGAGTAAATACAGTTTCTTTATCACAGTACTTGGCATGTAGCTCTTTAAATCTAAAGAGCTGAGAAAATGCAACTAGACCTGTATTTATTTAAATAATTTGTTTTTCTCTAATTTTTGCTTTTTTTTTCCCCCGTATCTTCAGTTATTTACTACTCTGATGGTTTTGCTGGATGGGGGTATTCAGACTTCAGTTTTAGTCATCCAAATTCCTTCTAGCATGACTAAGGAAGGGGCTCACTGAACAGGCAGCGGTGCCCTTATGAACAGATGGCAGAAACTGATGCTGTTAGCATCAGATCACCCATTAAGCTCTGGTGAGACTGCAGGGGCTAATTCTGCATCCATCCCTATAGAGTATTACTTCTCAATGCACTGATTTAGCTATGCATGAGAAAACTGAAAGCAACTACTGGAAAAACTTACTTTCCCCTCACCCTTTGATCATCTGAGCTTCAGATATGTTAAAAGACTGTATCATCCACAGGTAGAAGTGAAGAATTCAGTCTGATCTAAGAATTTAGGAAGGAGAGCTGTACCTATCATTCTAGTAAAGGATCAAATAAATATATCATCATGCAGAGGAAAAAAAAGTTGTTGTTGAACAGTATATTTCGAGATAGTTGAGCTCCTCTACTTCTTTTCCAACAGAGAAGATAGGCTATGGCTTTAAGTGGAAAGAAAATACTCTGTTGTAGAGCCCACTGCCAAGGCCTGTGATTAGAAAATGAAATAACTGCTTGTTCACTTTTCCTGGACTTTTTAAAAAATTATTATTTATGCATGCCTCTGCACTTTGAGTTACATGTTTTCTCTCAGTGATTATTTATTTCTACCATACAGCATGTGTAAAATCCTGCTGCCAGGGAATGGGTCCGCAGTAAGTTAATCATGTATATTATACTACAGTTACATTATGACCCTGTCTGCTTTTCTACCTTGTCAAAAGCGATTTAATATTCCACCTTACACTTACCAGTAGTTGGGCTTGATTTCCTTGTGAAAGTTTTATTCATATCTGGTCATTCTCTGAAATAAGTAGCTACATGTTTGTTTAATGTATCCTTGGCATATGGATTAGCTCCCAAACTGACAAGCTCTTTAGCACTCATGGCCTGGATTTCAGAATTCATTGCCAGAAATATATCAAAACATTTTCTCCTTCTTATCACGAGGGGAAAATGCTGCTTCCTCAAGACACATTTATATTGGCTTTAGCTGCATATTCTTGGTATATTTTGAAATAAGATGTTTTATCAAACAGTATATTGTCTAATTTAGTTTTGACAGCATCTATAATGAAACATTATGGCAGATACTTTAAAAGGAACAGACTGTATTGCAGAGAACTTTCACACAATATTTTGTGTACTATGACATGAGCACCACTGAATTCTGAACAAACTATAAGCATGTGACTAAAATAGAAAAGATTTATAAAAATTTCTTTAGAGAAGCAAGTGTGACTGAAGAGAGTGAAGAACACTTTACCACATTGAACAGAGGCTGTGATTTGCATACAGGGTAAAATGGGTGTTGGTACTCATAAGAACAGAGGATGTACTTGATTCTGTAACCATTTCTCACTGAAATCTTCTGCAGGAAGCAAGGCTGGGAAATAGTTACCATTTAAGATATTTATTACCAAAATTAGTTCCTGGTGTTAGCCTTCAAGGATATATTGAAGAAACTGCTTTCCATAGGCTTATTGAGGTCAAATGGGAATGGCTTCCAGAGGAAAGCTTTATGACAGTACTATGGGCGTACAGAACTGCTTCTTACTGGATAAATCAGACGACTTTAAAAAAAGTAGAGCTTCTTTCTGCTAGTAAAGTAAATACCTTTCTAAGTATTTCAAGGTGTATGTAACCTGTAGGTCACCCAGTCTAATAATACCAGTACCAAGAAAGCTATTGGGCCATATTTCCGCTTGCTGTGGACCTGTGTGCTTGGTTTCCTTTGCATACCAAAGGAGAAATGGGAGCAGAAATCACAGATAGGAAGATAATGAGAACAGCAAATGCTCTTACCCTATCATGCTGAGGAACTGGGACACAAATGAGAAGACTTCAGGTCAAAGGCCATCTCAGCATAAATCTCTTTTGTGAAACTGATGGAACTCTGGAGAACCATATAATTAAGAAGTGGCTTCAAATACCTTCTTCAGGCACCTGTGTTATTCAACAGACTAGTTTGCTGCTGAATGTGAAAAGTCCTTATGCCTCAAAACATCCAGAAGTTTCCATAGTAGTGCTGTTTAGCTCCTCCAAATGTTACAGCATCTTTTGAGAAGGTGTTCCTTGAATTCTGTTGCCTTTGGTACGTGCTCACAAAGTCTCAATCCATGTAAAAGACTACAAAGAAAAAAATTTTAGACTGATGTACATGCCCCCATTAGTCAATGATTATTTTATTATACCAGTATGTGGAAGACCCCAGTTCAAAGCTTTAAATTATTTGATATCTGATAACCACCAGTCCAATCTGCAACATGCTGGTAGCTCAGATAATGGCACACCTTTTCTCACCATGATCTCATTTGTTGCTCTGGTGTGAGTGTGTTTGTATTTTCATTTCTGAAGAGTCTTTAATGTGTAGAAATCATATTTATTTTATATAATATTTATTTTTATCATTTTATCATATTTATTAGCAATACAGTGTTCCCAGATTCTCATGAACAGGACATTTATGGGGATATATGTCATCTAATTTATGTCTCTGTTACAAAAAATTATTTATTTGCACAAAATGTTTCAACACAAAATCTCTACATAGGGCCTTTTGGAAAGATTAATATAATTAACAGATTTTGAAAGGGGATGTGAATCTTAGTGTTTCTTCTTAACATCTCCTCATGAATTTATGTTTTCTTGACCATTTTGATCACCTCACTCAATGCCTGTCTTGGATACATTTGTCTTGCTGTGCCTCACAGCTCAGGCAGGTTTCAGTATTGCAAATTCTTTTACATGCCTAGGCTTAGTCCAGTCAAAGTCCACAGCTTTCAACACTTACAAACCCCATTGACAACACTACACCTTTAAATTCATTATCTGTTCCTGAAATGTTTTTCTACTTTAACAGTATGATGTGGCGAATCATTACTCTTGGGCATAACTAAGTGCACATAACTTTCTCATTTGTTGAGAAAGCTGTCATCAAATAATTATTCCCTAGCAAGTTTTCACTGTCTTTATGTACGTATTGTCATCAATTGTCAATAGTCAAACTGAATTTAGTAAAGTTCACAAGAAATTGAAATAAACCTCCATAGCAGGAAAACTTAGGTTCCAATTTTTGAAATTGCAATGCTTATCTGTAAGGTTTTTTACTTTATTTTGCATAATTCTTCTTAGAATCCTTTTCCCCTTCACGTACAATTTCTACCACCTAAACTGCAAACAACAACTCAGACAATGTTTGGAAGTATAAATTTACCATAACACATGAGCAAGATAATAGAAAGCTGACATCATCAAGAGAAGGATTTATTTACCTTTATTTACAGATTACAGGAACATCCATCTAGACTTGCTGTTCTTTTTAGAGCTAAGCATTATAATTACAGAATTCAAATTAAACTACTGAATCCTATTACCACACTCATAATGTCAAAAGCACACAAATTCTGAAATCCAAGTACCCTATACAACTAAAAAAATTCTTCTCCATTTTCATTTACCATCTCCATAAATGCTCATGAAAACAATAGATGAGCTAACATATCTAGTCCCTCTCCCTCATCAAGGTATACTGCAAAAGCATTTATCTTTCAAATTGAATCAATGCACTATTAAAGCTCTTAGTGATATAAAGTGAATGCATAGGACCCAAGCAGCCTCAGTTTCTTAACTGAGCAGAAAAATCACAAAGAAGTTGAATGTATCTTTTGAGAAGAAAAATGAAAGATTCTTCTGGAAAATACAAGCTGCTGATTCTGTGTCTCATTTGAGTCTTATTCATGATGCCTTCATTTATCCTCAGAATATGGTTGGAATCAACAAACAAGGAATGGGTCGTTCTGTAGCATTTTTGAGCTATTCTGATAAGAGCTGACACTCAAACAGATGACAGAGATGTTTTCAGCATTTCAAAATGTACAGAAAGTATGGGAGGTGGTGGCACTGAATCTGTGGAAGTGAGGTGCTGTTCTGTTAAATGCTTACTGGTCCTGATAACATTATGAAAAAGGTTTGAGTATAGCATTTGCAGAGAACAGTTCTGTTATTCCCTGCTTCCACCCCTGCAAATGATCAAAGTACATATGAGGGTATTAGTCTCTTCCGAAACTTTTACTGGTGGAAGCTTTACACTTTTTTTTTTGGTCTTAAAGACAATACCATTAACATTATTCAATCTAAGAGTGCACTCTAGTTCTTAGGAGCTTAAGAGGTAATAGCAGAAATGAGGTATCAGATGTCCATGCTTTTCCCCCAGCATGAATGACGTTTTGATAGAAACGGTCAACAACCCATTTTAGGTCAGGAGAAGAACAATTCCGAGTGTTGCATATGCAGAAGTGCCTTAGTCTTGTGAAACACCACCCTGCTAAGTCTATCTTGCTTGTCTCTGATGTTTTAACGTATTCCACTTGTTCTATTACCTCCTTTTAAATATAACAGTCGCATCTTCCAATGTTTAAACCTACATGTTGTTCACAGCCAGCTGTACTTCTTTCATGCACTCATACTGGCCCTCAGTCTATTTGAATCTGTGCTGAAATAAGCATTCAGAGTCAAAACTAAAAATGCAGTCTAGGGTCTGCATTTTGACCAGATATGCCTTTCAATTTCTAGCAGAAAACAACTGGTAACAGCACACACCAATTCCAACTTGATAATATACTTACAAAGTGGGATAAGAAACCTTGGAAATTTGCATTTGAACACATATTTGCTAGTTCATTGCTACAACAGATACCTTTTCTGGTCCAGCAAACTTCAAATAATTTTTAGAACTGAAACAGGGGTGAACCACCTCTGGAAAACACTGGTCTTGCCAGACAACCTCACTTCTGCAGAGCTGCCTTTGGGAATTTCACTGGGAAGAGTGGCTTACCCATACAAACCAGAAAAAAACTGAAGAGATTTCACAGAGACATATATCAATATGCAGCCTTTATCTTAGTGTTTTAAAGTGTTTAAAAGATCTGAGGTCTTCTTAGGTACAACATATGTTAAAATATTGGACTGAGAAAACTGAGATATAATTATAAGGACCTGAATGGCAAAACAAGATAACAGGTTTTTTCCCCTGGTTTTACACAGTGTTATGAGGGCACAGAGTACTATTGTTGTCATATTAGCACTCAGCAGCAAGAGATGATTTCAGAGCAGAGCAGTCCTACTGTGGCTTCCGAAAGATAATGACAAAAGGAATTGCATAAAATAAAATCTGAATGAATGAATCTGAGTGACTCATCTATGTAATTTCAAAAAGTTAAATTAGGTTTTAACATGAAATATTATTTTCTGTTTGGACCAATATGTAGTGAAACAATTAACAAAATGCTGTGTAATATTTTTGTACTAGCTTGACTGTCTAAATGCTGGAAACTTTCCTAAAAGAATATTCTTTTCCTGTCACTCTTATACTAGTCCTACAGAATCAAAGCAGGAAACCTAGAAGTTTTTGAAAATTATTTTAATATTTGGCTTAATACAAAAATTATAACCAAGCTCATCATGCTTTGGAAGCAAACTCACCAGAAAGTGTTGAAAGGAGAACACTTTCCCCCCTTATCTGGAAATTTTCTCTAATTTAACCTTCTGTAATTTTCAACTTTTTCCCATTCTTAAAGTATGTATAGATACATTCACTTTCATCAGAACCTTCATTTCTAATATAAAACTCTTAACTGACCTGCCAGAATTCTTAATATTTCAATATCTTCACTCCCTGACAAGTATCCTATCTGCTGTACGCAACAGTTATCATCCCTTAGTTTAGCAATTTTCCTCCTCGTTCTGAAGAATATTTTTCCCATGAACAGATGTAAAAGCTTCTGATGCCTCACAGAAAATAGAAAGAAACAGTACATTCTTATTAGTAAAGCATCATTATCTGTACTATCTTCTTATAAAACAGCCCTTTTCTACGTGGGAATTTTGTACCTTATTTTGAAGTAGTGTTTTCCTCAGCAGATGTTGAGTGTGAGACAATGACAAACTTATTTTATTATAATCAATGAATAGGGAGTGAGAGTGTGCACACATTACTAACTTTTAGATTGTCAGTCTGCAGTAATGCTACAGCTGGGGACTACAGGCAGGTCTAGGTGTTATTATAGTAAAACAAAACCCATGTCTTCCCTTTGCATCTCTTTTGTCTTTCTTCTCAGCTAAAGTATTAAAAGACTTGTGTTCAGTCTGCAATTTTCAACAAATCCTTTGTACATCAACACTGTTAACCAGCAGATATGCTGTGACAATTGCTGAAGTCTTTTTTTCAGCAAAACACATTTTGCTCCACTCCACATGCAAGCATTTCCACATATGCTTCTGCTATCACATTTACAAAAGATATAAATAAATGTAAAATTACCATATGTTCCTGCCAGGATTGAATCCTTCCCAGCAATTTTTCACAAGATTTTCAATTTTTGCTACTGAAATCCAAATAATATCTACAATAAAGAAGAGACATTATTTAACCTCTTGTTTAGCCTGTCAGATGGTTATTAAGGTCAGAGGTCATCCCTAACAAACAGCAACAGGGTTCCTTTAGGAATTCGATATTGCAATTAAACAGGGTAGATCTGGATATTCCAACACATGAACCATTCCAT